TGATGACTTATTGATGAAATAGTGGCCAAAATTGGGTGAAAATCGCGTCTGCGGGCCCCCCGAGCAAGTTGCAAACGCCTGCGAATCGTATAAAATTCTCAAATTAGGGTAATGTGTTGTGCATCAAAAATCCGTCGTCAGAATTTCGATCAGGATCGATGCGGCCGTGATACAGCTNTCACGAAAATATTATTATTTTCCCATTTGGATGTCGTGGTGATGATGACTTATTGATGAAATAGTGGCCAAAATTGGGTGAAAATCGCGTCTGCGGGCCCCCCGAGCAAGTTGCAAACGCCTGCGAATCGTATAAAATTCTCAAATTAGGGTAATGTGTTGTGCATCAAAAATCCGTCGTCAGAATTTCGATCAGGATCGATGCGGCCGTGATACAGCTAAGCACTGATATACATGCGCGAAAGCAGGGATAACAACCTGGAATTACTAGGAATTACACTGAAATATCCCCCCTCCCGCAACACTTTCTACATGTTGATTCAATCTCTCCTGACTTCGGATGAGGGTAATTTTGGGGTGGGGATCACAAATATATTATTGGAATGTCCCAGTTTTGATTTGCAATGGACCTTCAGCTGCTCAAAAGCTGACAGTAGTAGCTAGCTGAGCAATTTCAAAATTCCTGGGATTTTGCATTCTCGGTTCCCACGTCGAGTTTTTGTCTGATCAACTTTCTGAGTGGCTCTACCCCCTCTAAATCGGCCAAGCGGAATCGATTGCCGAGGAGAAATGGAGGCGCCGAAATCAGCAACGCGGTGGAAAAAAACAATCAAGGCGACCCGATGACCTTGTTTTTTGTTTCTCTTTTTTTATGCTGTTAAACGTCGTTTTAGACATGTATCCAAAAACGGTTTTTCATTCGAGTTTTCTTTTGCTAGATTTCGGCATTTAGCAACTGACATACGGTTTAATGTGAAACAACAACAACAACAACAACTAGGCCTGTCCTCCATCGGCCGTTTTATTTTCGATTTAGATACACAAACTTTATTTCTATACTAATTTCAAGTAATTCCACCTTCTTATTCTCCGTCATACAAGCAAAACGGCCGATGGAGGACAGGCCTAACAACAACCCACATGTTCAGTCTGTTCGCCCTGGAAATGGGCGCCGCTGTCAAAATTAGTCGGCTTTGATTGGCTTGGCAACGAAAAAAAAAAGAAAAAGTCTAGACTATTCGAAAGAACCTCCGCGTGACAGAATTTGGGCTCAAAAACAGGGTCAGGCGCAGGGCTACCAGGGTCCAGGCTACGCACATGGGGCGAAAAGGGGAGACCATCCGCCTCCTCTCCTCCTGCTGTTGTACGTGGAACTTGACGCAGGGAATTATTAGAGGACAGAGTTTATCACTGCTGCTGTCGAGCCTGTGCGTACAGCAGTGCCTACAGACAGCAGGTTCGGCTTTGTTAGCGGAGACACACCTACCTTCAGCAGCAGCGCAGCTTGGGCTTTTCGATGCTTCAGCTCGATCTTCTCTCTCCCTGACGTGTCTCTCCGTCTCAACGTTCTGAAGACTGCGGAAGACGCAGCGTGCGTGGGTGGAGTGTGGGTGTGTTTTTATTATTAGCATTGACCGCGCTAACCGGCTGACCAATGAAAAGACGTCAGT